GGTTAGAAAAAAATATACCGGTGTATGGAACTTGGGTTGTTGTATGTTGGAAATCTTCGTCAGCTGTTAGAGAGAGATGATGGCGCTGCAGATGCAGTCTTGTGGTCCTTAAACTGATAGTTAGTGCCATAGGCACTAGGGAAATTCCGGTTTCATACTTCTACACCTGGTATTATGAGCTGTTAAAACCGACTGAAACAATCACAGGCGATCAGTATCGAATGCAATTGATGCGTTTGAGCCGAGCATTGAAAGACAAACGGTCGCAATACAACGAGAGACACAATAAAGTGATTTTGCAGCATGACAATGCTCGACCCCATGTTGCGAAAGTGGTCAAGACATACTTAGAAACGTTGAAATGGGAAATCCTATCCCACCTGCCGTATTCTCCCTGACTATCATTTATTTAGATCAATGGCACACGACCTGGCTGACCAGCACTTCTGGTCTTATGAAGAAGTAAAAAATTGGATCGATTCGTGGATCGCCTCAAAAGATGACCAGTTTTTTCGACGCGAGATTCGTATGCTGTCCGAAAGATGGGAGAAAGTAGTAGCCAGCGATGGACAATACTTTGAATCATAAATGTATTGGGTCATTTAAAAAGTATCCGCGGTTTTTTGTCACTAGATGGTGTTGATGGTCATATATCTAGTGACAAAAACCGCGGATACTTTTTAGATGACTCAATATAACCAGTTTTTTACAATAAAGCTTCGAATTTCGGAAAAAAACGGTATAAGCAAAATTATACGCCTTATATTACGCGACATCCATAGAAAAAAACGGCGGAGATTTAAGGGAGATTTAAAGTTTTATTTATAATAGGCTGTCGTACGCCAAAGTTTCTGTTAAGAATTCTATTCCTCGTACCTCACCCGAACATCCACGATCCTCGCGTCAGGAAATGAGCACTTCCCATCCAATATCCCCTTTCCCATCTTCACTGCGGAATGATAAACACAAGCAGGACCTTTCTAATACCTGTGCCCCCCCTCGCAATACTAACAATGCTAATAATAATTCTACATCATTGGAAGAAGCTAGGAAGGAATATCTAATATCTCCGAACGGCAGATCTTCCAATATTTCGAGAGACGGTGTTCTTAATCATGGTCGAGCCAATTATCCGCGTGATAATTATCTTTATGAACATGATAGACTTCCTACTGGACACATGGATATGCCCATGCTTTCCATGACTCTTAGGCAATTCTTAAATCATGTAAGTTCACACATTGAACCGCACCCTCCTCGCTTCTATCGGCAGCAGACTGAATATGATGATCCGCGCATTTATTATGATAATTATCAAGCTGATACCCCCCCCCCTTTTTCTGACGATCACGCTTACAACTATTACTAATTTCTCTGTTACTTTATTCTATCTCACTTTTCATTTTAATACTAATATTATTCATGTCTTCTAACAAACCTATCTCTATTGCTAGTTGGAACTGTAGGGGTTTACGGGGAAAGCTCCCGGAACTTCAAGTTAATAATAACACACGATCTTTGGTGCCTCCAAGAAACTATGGTCACCGAGAATATTTATTTACACTCTAACATTTTTAACTTTATTAGAAGTGACATTCGCTGCCCCGGTCAACACGGGGTAGCAATTGCTATTAAAAAGTCATTCCGCTATGACTTTCTTGATATCACTCACCTGGGCTACCATTCAATCGAGCTCATTGATATCAAGCTTTTTACTCAAGGTCCCTCCTTTGTCATTATTAATATATACAGACATCCATCGTCACGAACTCCTCCTACAATCATTGAGGACCTGCTTGATTATGTTACGAATCAATCTCACGCCGTCCTCCTAGACGACTTTAACTTGCACAACGTGGCTTGGGGCTGCTTGCTTACTGACTCCCTTGACAGATGTCTTTTAAACTTCCTTGAAGATCGTAATCTTATTATCTGCAATGACCATAAACCTACCCTTCTGACCCCTCCCGACTCGCAAACATCATCGATCTTATTGTTGTAACGCCTCCCGTCTTGACTCTTGGTAACTGTTATACAGAACTCGACACCTTTTCTAGTGATCACTTCCCTTGTCACTAACCTGAATATTTTCCCTTGCCTAAAAACTACATTTAAGTATAAAATTAAACTTAATTCTCTCCAAATGAAAGTCTTTATTCATAAGTTAACTTGATTTTGCCTCTTTTAGTAACGACAGACGATGCTACCTCTCAATATGATAACTTTGTAAAAGAAATCAAAGGCACTCTGAACTCTCTGTTTCCCCCTGGATCACGTACCCCGAAATCAAAACCGATGGTTGAGAAACGTCTCTTCCCCTCTCCTTGGTGGACCGAAAAATGCCAGGCCGCGGTAGATGCCAGACGCGAGGCAAAGAGACTCTGAAACCACCAGTCAAGTTCAGAGAACTATAACGCTTATAAGCGCACTGCTTCGGCATGTAGATGCGACCTCAGAAGAACCAAGAGAAGAAAATGGAAGGAATTATGCAACAGTTTTAACGCTCATACTCCGTCTGCTAAAATTTGGAAGTTGGTCAAAACTTTTAAAAACGACGTTTAGCTTCCGTTATATCATCTGGCCAGTCGCTGTCGGTTGCACAGGAAAATGCGATTAATAAAATCTGTCCTCCCTCTTGTAGTATATCCTCGAGATATCGTCTCAGAGTGTATCCTTCTTGAAGAAAATACTCCATGCAGTGCGAAAGCGCTAAATTCTTGGACAATCCTTTTACTATGAAGGAGTTACTCTTAGCTATTGATTCAGCCAAAACTAGATCAGCTCCAGGGGCCGACCCGATTGACTATAACATCATTAAGAACTTAACACCGGATACGGTCTTTCTGTGCTATTACAAATCTATAACAACCTTTTTTGTCAAGGAATTTTCCCTGCGGAATGGAATAAGTCAATGGTCGTCCTTATCCCTAAACCAAATGGAAAAGGTATCAGACCGATCTCTCTTCTCTCGTGCCTCTTAAAGATTATGGAAAAAATTATCTATCTGAGGTTGAGGTGGTTTACTGAATCCAATGCCATACTGCCGTTTAACCAAACAGGTTTCAGCCCCTAGTGTGCCTGCTCTGACAATCTTATTGCTCTGACAAATTATATTCAGGGCGCCTTCATTAATAACGCCCTTACTATATGTGCATTTTTGGACATCGAGGGAGCGTTCGACAACATGATTCCTTCTATTTTAATTGAAGATTTACAACGTCTTGGGATCCCGCCCAAAACTGTTAAATTCATAAGTAACCTTCTTTTCAACAGACAAATCACGTTCATTTGTGATGGCGTGCTTAAAGGTCCATACATCACTTTGAAAGGTACTCCTCAAGAGTCTATCCTTAGCCCTTTGCTTTTCTCTACTGTGCGGATATTAATAAATGTCTGCACAAGGACACCCTTCTCTTATAATATGCGGACGACGTCGTTATTTTCTCATCAAACTAAAACGTTGAAGATGCTAGATCGTCGGTCCAATCTTCATTAAACAATATACATGTTTACTTGAGAAATAGGGGCTTGGAAGTTTCCCCCTCAAAAACCCAATGGATGCTCTTTACAAAGAAGAGACAGGACATTGAACTACACATTCAGAACATAGAAATTCCTAGAGTACAATCTGTCATCTTTCTGGGCTTCACTCTCGACCCCAAGTTGAGCGGCAAAGAGCATCTAAAAACCTTGGTTAATAAGAGACATAATCTTACTAATATATTAGCAGCTCTCGCAGGCACTAAATGGGGATCTCATCCAAGCTTACTTCTCATTCTTTATAGAGCTGTATTTCGCTCTGCTATCGAATACGGATGTCAAGTGTTCAAGCTCAAGGGCAATAAGACAGAATTTTTACAATTGGAAAGATTAGTCAACAGAAACCTGCGTCTTGCTTTCGGATTCCGACTATCTACACCTATTAGCGTCATTATGGCCGAAGCAAAGGAAACTCCTCTTAACATTAGATTTGGCTATATGACCTCGAAGTTCATCTATAAGGCTTTCTCCAGGAAGAACTCCCCAGTGCTATACAGCTTTGAAAGCTTGGAACAGGCTGCATACTCCCCCTCAAGAAGACAGCGGGCCCTAGCTGTACCCGCGTTCAAGTACTATGTAATGTAGAAATACTCATTTAAAATCATCCACAGATCCAACGTGCCTTATGCTTATAAACACAGTTATGAAAACTATACTTATGTTCATCAATTTGACAGTTCCCTTACCAATGTTCCTAAGAAAGCGAATAACCGAAAGCGAATATACCAAATCCGATTCTTAGAAACTATAACCACAATCGCGGTCCCATTATTTACACCGATGGCTCTAAGACCGTTAGAAAGGATCGCGTGGGCTTCACAATCTATTCACCAGATCTTAACGTTGCATTCAAGTTCAAGCTTCCTCCGGAGACTTCAATTTTCTCAGCCGAGTCTTGGACTATCCTTCAGGCGATTAATCTTATTGAAGATCGATGTTGTGACGAGGCTTCCATCTGTTCTGACTCTTTAAGTGCTCTTCAGGCAATATCGTCTCACAATTCTAGAAATGCGAACCATATTACATTAGATATTAAGGATCGTCTGTCCTTTTTAACGCAACATGGTTTCAAAATTAATTTTATTTGGACTCCTGGTCATAAAGGTATAATCAGTAAAGAGACTGCAGAGCACCTTGCCAATGAGGTCGCCCTTAGTGGACACCGGCCTAAATTTAAAATACCATTTCAAGACTTTTTTATGATCTCCAAGCAATTCCTCAATACTAAATTTCAAGCACACTTAGATCATTGCGCAACATTTAAAGGGCAGCTATATGATGATTTTATAGAAATAACTCAGCCAAGCCCTGATTCTATCATAAGACTCTTAAAAGAGAGGAGATCGTCATCATCTCCAGAATTAGATCTAACCATTATAATCTAGCATACAGCCTGCATCGTAAAAATATTGTCAACTCGCCTGCATGTCCCTGTGGTGACCCAAATCAGGACATTAATCATATTCTCTTTTATTGCAAACTTTGCATTCATAAATCGACTAAATTACGTAATTACCTGAAAAAACACTTCCTATTTCATCCCCTTAATATTCATTGTATGATTAATAATCCCCCTTCTACCTTGTGTCATTTAATTACTGCATATCTCAAATCTTTAAACTTTAGCATCTGATTTCCATGAATATGTCTTTATTTTAAAGGAGGGGTAGAGAACTTTGTTTCTCTCCTCTCCTCTCAGGCGGCGCCCCCGCCTGTTTACTTGTTTCAGCTACTAGTTTCATCCTGGTCGGAATTGCTGCTACTCCGCGGCAAGAGCCAATTAACATCGAACAAGAAGAAGAACATCAGTCTGCCTGGCTGCCGAGCCAATCAAGAAGAAAAAGAAGAAGAAGACATTATTATCCTCGAATCCGGTATTAAGTTTGAATAATATATATATATTCCGAATTAAGCGTGACAACTAGAGATCCTTTAATGAGAGTCGCAAGACACAAAAAAAAGTCTCTTAAAAAGTTAGAGACTTTTTTCATGATCTGTCTCCAGTTTTATTTAAATCACACAAAAGAGAGAGAAATACGTTGTATCTCTTTCTAATCTTGATAATTTCTCGTGAGTCGTGATACATCTTTCTGATCTTGAAGACTAGTACGACTTATTAGAAGATTAATAAAAATAATTGCAAAATGGTTGGGTGTGCAGCCCGATTTTGCACTAATTCTGCAGCAAAGGGCTACATCATGAAAATATTTCCGCGTGATACTAAACGTCGAACATTATGGGCAATAAATGTTGGAAACCAATGAAAAATGCATACCTGTGCGAGATGAAGTAACATATTTGTACAGCACAGTTATGAGATAATTAATAAAATATGTTTTATTAAAAATAATTATTATAAATTATTTTCTTTCATATATACATATATTTTAAATGGGCGATATTCAGTATTGAAATAGATACCATTTGAAAGATATCTAGATATAAGTATAGGTATTACGTAGAAAATGTATTTAGGTATAAGTACAGATACGTATTTTTATAATTAAGTATAGTATAGATACTTAAGTATAGATACCTAAATATAGATACAGATATAAGAAAAAAGTATCCGAAAGTTTAAGTACTCTTTAGGTATTCTTTTACTTAAAAAAAAGGAAAAAAAAAGAAAAATAGAGAAGTAGGAAAAAATAGAAAAAACAAGAAGAAAAGATATAAGCAGCGTAAAATGCTACATTTTATTTGTTTGTTTTAATACATAAAAAAATGTCTCGATAATGAAAATTTAAGTCGAAAACAACAAGCTGCGTTCATATTTCACAGAAGGTTCCCGACTTACGAGATCACTTCACATGAGCAGGTACACTGAGAAAAATGATTTTGTTATAGGAATCAATGAAAAACAAATGTGATATTTGTTAAAAAAACAATCGATTAGTTATTATTGCAAATTAATTATTTCTCAATCGTCAATGTAACAAATAATCAATAGTATCGCTAGCAAATAAAAGGCTCATATATATATATATATATATATACACATACATGCAGGGTGTCTCTTAAGATGGGTTGGGGTCACATTGGAGATAGAGAATGGATCAAAGGAACAAAAAATTCTTATACCATTTTGAGATACTTGCTGTAGTTTTCGAATTAGAAAAGGAAATGTCTAAGCCAATATGCGGTTAAGCCGCGCGAATTCGTAGGACGGCCCACATTCGAGCGGCAGCGGCGGCGGCGCGCAGAAAGGTGGAAAAAGCGTTTCGTCGACTACGCCTATCAGTTGCAGTCGATTATCGTGCGAGGACTACATACTTGGTAGGCGCGCGCTAAGCACCATAACTCAAGCAGAGCGCCTATCAAGCAGTCACTACTCCCTGCGCAACAAGCGATCGTGACCAATGGGCGTATACTTGGTGATAATCCGCGCCGATACGTACTCATTAAGTGATATTTAGAAATTAATATCTCCTAAAGTATTGCAAAAATTGCACAATGGTAAAAATAACTTTTCGATTCACAAGGGAATTTTCACAACTGTCCAACCGATTTGATTCTTCATGAAATATGTTGTAAACACGGAAATCTAAGAGACACGTATTTTTTTATACATGCCCTTAATCATTTAAGAAATGAAATAGCCCTTTGAAAAAAAATAGTATTTTTCTTTCGAGGCGAATATCATCGGAAATATAAAAGATGGAAAAAAATTTTTTAAATAAAAGTTGTATGGTTTCAAAAGTACTTCAATGTTGTGAAGACAAAAATTTTTTTTAAATGATGATTTACAGTATAGTATAATAAAAATGATTTATAGTAGATATAGTAATCAAAAATTATGTTTCTAATATAACATAAAATAAAATGTATAAGTATCTTGTATTTATGTATCTAAAACTTAAAAGATATCGTATCCAAAAAGAACTAGATACGGATACAGGTATCTTCACCTATAAGGATCTGGTAGGTAATGCACTTAGATAAAGTATTGTATCTAGACTAATACTACCTAGGTACATTCTAACACTGGCGATATCCATATCGGAACACTAAAAATCGATTATATCGATTTGAAGTTTTTGACCTTGTTAAGAAAAGAACGTTTCTTTGTAAAGATATTGATTTAAAATGGCATCGTTTTGGTTGGAAAAATTGATTTTTTGCAAAATAGATAATTAATTTGCAAACGAATTTTAGCATATCGATACGCGCATCACCCATTTCTATAATACAGACATTCGAATATAGGTGGGAATTGCTGAAAAATGGCAGACCAATCAAAATTGGTTATTTAGTGGCGCAATTCTTATTAGAGGATCTCTAGTGATAACAAGAATATTAATTTTTAATCCTCTCTCCCCAAGGGATTGCGAATTGAATACCACTTTTGAAGCTGTAAAAAATTGGCGACAATACGAAAAAAATATCAGGGCCCCTATTCCTGAAAAGTATCGTATATGAAAAATTAGGGAATAGGGATGTTCTAATATAATCGATATTTTTAAATATCGTATCATTACTCTTTTTGATATTCAATATTTGCATCGAAACTTTTAGTTTGCGTATCGTAGCATATCGGACCTGAAACGTAGATATCAATTGATTCGATACAAAGGTTGTATTTCCAAAATTCAACTGCATAAACGTAATAAGGATACCAATTCGAAAACAGTTTACATCACGATCAACGCTATCATGAATAAAATTAAAAGAAATGTTATGTTTCAACATTATCTTTGTTAATTGATAGACATATGTATAAAATGACAAATGTAAAACTAATTGACTCTTAAAATAACACAAATAAAAAATAGAATAAAAAATAGAATAAAAAATTAAGAGCATTAATACGCGATAATTGGTGCGAATAAATACATATTTCAATCGTATCTATTGATCTATTACATAAAATATCAATTAACTAAAGGTTTCGACTGTATTCAAGCCATCTTCAGCAGTCCCCAATTATAGTAATAATTGTTTACAATCTAATGTTCGTAACGTAGTAGAAATCGAGTGCAGCAAGTGAGTCTCGATAGATTCCCATATCTGGCAGAAAAAGACATTTTTTCTCATGGGAGTCAAAGAAAAATAAAGTTTACAAGATTAATTGTAAAAATTGCAATATCTCTTATGTTGGACAGACGAGCCGTAAATTAAAGACTAGAATTAATGAACATAAAAATGACATTAATAAAAACAGCGGTAACTTGTCTGTTATTTTTGAACATAGATTGCAATTTGAACATGATTTTGATTGAAGTAACACCAAAATTTTGGAATGAGAAAATGATATATTGGGAAAAGGTTAGTGTCTGAAATGCTTAATATTAAAATGCAGGAAAATGGTCTTAATTTGAAATCAGATACGGATTCTTACATCATGCTTACACGAACATAATTAATAAATTTTAATAATTTTTTTGATTGGTTATTTATACTTAAGCGGTTATCTATATTGTTTTTCAATCCGATGACTTTTGATAATGTTGTTTCCTCTCTTAAAATATTTATTTCTTAATGTTCTCTTACATTAGTTGACTGCTTTGACACTACGAATGTTATGTTTCTTTTAAGAAATTTAATTTAATTTTATCTTTTGTGATTTTAACTTATTTAATTTATAACATTGTGTAGTTATGGTTTGCAGTAGGTAAGTCTCTTTAAAGTTTTGTTATCCTTTTTTTTTTCGTAACGTTCTTTTTAATGATTATTTCTGATTTAGCTCGCACTTAGCTAATCAGCTAACTGATGGTTACATACACTCCAGACATAGGAATCTGTCACTTTTATCTCCAAAATTTTATAGTATGCGTAACGTAAATTATAGCATGTTAGCGCGTTAATATCGTTGTAAGCGCGTTCTGAATACGGATCATAGTCTATGCTTCTCCGCACATCCATACTAGGGAAATACTATAGTATGCGTTACATATACTATAGCATTTCTCTTCGACAATTGTCGATAAGCGTGTAAAACAGTTATGGAATCACGCCTCAGGCCACGGTTTGAATCTCGGAGCGCCCTGGGACCCAAAAACTAAGGAAATGTTATAGTATATGTAACGCATACTGTAGTATTTCTCTATTTTTCGTATGTAACACTTTTCAAGAATAGAGACCCTGAGACGCGATTTCATAACTGTCTTTACACGCCTACTGACAGTTATCAGTGTCGTTGCATAGATATTTTATATGGTGCGAAAGCTTTTCTCTAGTTTTTCGTATGCGATACTTTTTAAAAATAAGATCCCAGGTCTCCTCCTAATTAGACTTCCGTTCTGTCCACTGAGTCACACAGCCCTGACGCTGATGGTTTCTCTGTTGTGCCTATTTCTGTCAGTAAATTTCTTACAATTATAGATTTTCAGTACTGACAACAAATTTGAAACTCCTCCTCGGAGTTTCTAGTTTTTATTTTATAGGGATTTTTTATAAGAGAGATGAACTTTCTCAAACTCACTTCTTTTATGTCATGGCCGATACGAAGCGAAATAAAGCAAGGTAGGAGTTCATGGCGACAATTGGCGACCACAGATGGGAAGAAGATGGAAAGAAGAATATTAACATGGCGACTTGTGCGGTAAATTCAGTAAATAGGGCTAGTCGCGCCCTGTCGAGGTATTTTTACGCCGTAGTTGCACGGTGAATGTTGTTGCGCGCACCGTGCATACAATTCGAGGAAGCTCGGTGTAGTTGCCGTGACGTCGAGGACGCGTCCTTCGCACGTGTTCGCTGAGTGCAACGCGATTACGCGATGTCGGTCAGTTACGCTAGAATGAAGTCTTGCCACGAAGCGTCGTCACCAACGTCGTCAATATCGCCAATGTCGTCGTCGACGACGACACCAACGGCGAGTAACGCATTGCCCAGGCGTGCCGGCGATGAGGAAGATTGGCGAATGCAGCTGGCCTTTTGCAAGCCTCGACACAACGCCACGATCGAATATGTCAATTGTATCAGTCAGACTTGGCGAATGAAGGAGCGGGTGCGTACGTGTATCGAATACTGTTCGATACGTTCACGATCGTACGATTAAACGTATGACCGGGTAATTACGCTCACGAGAGCACGACTGATTCTGCATCACTGCATATGTTTTTGTTTTATTAGATGAAGACAGTGAGTGTCGCTCTGGTGTTGTGCCTGAACGTTGGCGTTGATCCCCCAGATATCGTCAAGACACAACCATGCGCCCGTCTCGAATGCTGGATAGGTAGCTAAATTGGATGCCTCCCTAATTTATTTACGTTCTTTCCTCCCTACCGTTATGTAATTGCGATTTTGAGGTTAGGCATGTCAAGCATGCCAAATGATTCAGCCTGCTGACCATGACATACTGGACATACGCGATACGTCAATGCTTCTGCAAGCATCCACTAGATCGGGGTATCGTTCGCATTGAGCAATCTTTTTTCATTTTGTCAAAATTAATAGATTAAAAAATTTTTTTATATGTGTAACTAGTAAGGGATAAAATAGTAAATGATACGATAAAGGAAAATTAGAAAGAATCAAATATTATGTAGTGGCACATAGAGATAGATTTATAGAACAAACATTTAAATTTGATATTTTACTTATAATTTGAAATGTACTAAGACTAACTTTTAATGTAATTATTATATAATTGGTTTTCTATAATAAACACATTATAAATGTGATATAAAATAGAAACATACCTATGTATATAAAAAGCTTTAGTATCTATTTATCATGTATACAAAACAGAATAAGGCATAGAATAATAATTTTTTCTTCCTTATATAAAGAAAAATTATTTGTAAAACAATTAAGATACAGATAATAACTGATATCAAACAATATATAATCATGTATAAATTATGAAACAAACATACTTTCCCATGTTTAGAATTCTAAAATCATTTGGATTTATGCAAAATTGTCAAGATTGCGATATCTTTCTAGATCCTTTGTCGGTGAGTCCTCAAAAAGCTCTTGAAACTATAGGTTCAAATTTGCAAAAACAATATGAACGATGGCAACCAAGAGCTCGCTACAAACAAAGTTTAGATCCAACTGTAGAGGAAGTTAAAAAATTATGTACATCTTTAAGGCGAAATGCCAAAGAAGAAAGAGTTTTGTTTCACTATAATGGTCATGGAGTACCCAAACCTACTACTAATGGTGAAATATGGGTATTTAATAGGGTCAGTATAGATTCAAAATGAATGAATTTATGTCCATTACATATGATATGATGTATAATATTTATATTAACAATTGTTTGCTTTTATAGACATATACACAATACATTCCATTGTCGGTATATGACTTACAGACTTGGATGGGTGCACCTAGTATTTATGTATATGATTGTTCCAATGCTGGTATTATAGTAGAATCTTTTCAACAATTTGCTGATCAGCACGAAAAGGAGTATGAGGTAAAATAATATATAAATTTTCTTAAAGATTTTAAATGTTAATAAAGCATATGAATGTAATTATTGAATAAGATACTTTACAGATGGAAAAACAACAAAATCGTGCGACTGGGGTGACATGTCCTGCAGCACCATGTTATAAGAATTGTATCCAATTAGCGGCATGTGCGGCTAATCAAATTTTACCTATGAACCCAAATCTGCCTGCAGATATATTTACATCATGCCTTACTACACCCATAAAAATTGCAATACGCTGGTAAGAACTTACGCTTTTGGCGTAAGCAAAAAATGTTATGTATTCAATATATTTATATTTTCTATAATACACACACACACACATATATGTATAAATATATATAATACATTTTTTTTTACATAGGTTTGCCATGCAGCCTACATCCAAATTGATTCCCAATATATCGCTTGATCTTATTGACAAGTAATATATCAAATTATTGAATTTTATTATTATATAATATCTTCATATATGTATGTATGTACGTGTTTTAGAATTCCTGGACAATTGACCGATAGAAGAACAATGCTAGGCGAACTTAATTGGATATTTACCGCCATTACCGACACGATAGCATGGAATACCTTACCAAGAGGTAAGAGATTTAAGCTATAACAGGGTTGTTAGCAGTCAGGGAAACCAGAAAACCAGGAAAAATCAGCGAAATTAAAAAGTGGTCAGGGAGAACCGGGAAAAGTCAGAAAAATTATTATCAAGGAATTTATTAACCTAAGATAATTGCTGTAAAATTCTAGTTTAAATTTTACTTCTTTACAAATTATGAAATAGAATTTTTTTTAATTTTTAAAGAAGCAATGCAAATATTTTTTTATTTTTAATTTTGTAGTGAGCAGAAAATCATTAGCAGACATTGTTAAAAAGAAAAAAAATTTAACTTTGTAAAAGTCAAAATATGTACATATTAATGATGAATATTTCGTAATTTATTTCTAATTAAAATTAATTAAAATAATAATTAGAACGTACAGTATTTTAATAAAATAATTAATGCCCGTATTAGTTAGGTCTCATATTTAAGGAAGCCTTGAATATAATCTATGAGTATAGACAAAATTCTCAATAAACAATGTGCAAAACAAAGATATATGTATATCCACCATTTTCTGTAATTTATTTGTTTTTTAACTCGTCACATATTAGTAGTCATACGTTCCATCACTTAAAAAAATGACCAAGAAAACTGGGAAAAGTCAGGGAAATTTTTTTTTCTTTTTTGCTAACAACCCTGTACAAGTTTCATCGACGCAAAATAAAAGTATAATTATAATAATTATAAAAATGTATATAGATTTGTTTCAAAGGCTATTTAGACAAGACCTATTAGTTGCCAGTCTGTTCAGAAATTTCTTGTTAGCTGAGAGGATACTTCGTTCTTACGATTGTACGCCAGTTTCTTCCCCGAAATTGCCACCGACTTATCAGGTAAAAAAAATTGATTTATTATATATCTATACAAAGGAATTTCTTTGCTAAAACTTTGTTTATTTATATCAAACTTTTTAATTATTCTTTGCTTTTAAATATGTAGAAAGCAAAATCTTTCCATTTTTCTAGCACCGTATGTGGCAAGCTTGGGATATGGCGCTTGACCTATGCTTGGCACAATTGCCAATGGTTTTAGAAAATGAAGATCGATACGTGCATTCATCATTTTTTGAAGATCAACTCACAGCTTTTCAAGTGTGGCTCAATTTAGGATCAAAAAATCGTAGTCCACCTGAGCAGCTTCCAATTGTCCTCCAAGTGCTATTGAGTCAAGTTCACAGACTAAGAGCGTTAGAGCTATTAGGGCGTTTTCTTGATCTCGGTCCGTGGGCTGTGAATCTAGCACTTAGCGTCGGCATCTTTCCATATGTTTTAAAATTATTGCAAAGCAACGCCAGAGAACTTCGGCCGTTGCTCGTTTTTATATGGGCAAAAATTCTAGCAGTAGATAATGTGAGTTCTACACTTGCGCGTTATTATCCATATAATATTACACTGTTATACTTTATATGTATAAATTCTAATTTTAGATATGATTCTGAATTGCAGACTTGCCAAGCAGATCTTGTACGCGATGGTGGTCATAAATATTTCTTGTCTGTGCTACAGGATACTTCTATCCCGGTAGTTTATATGTTATGTTTAATTTTATTCGCTAACCACACCTAAATTATAACGGCTAAAGTTTCTTGTAACGAAAGTACGTTTGATAATGATTTCAGAGTGAGCACAGGACATTAGCCGCGTTTGTATTGGCCAGTATCGTAAACGATTATCGGCCGGGTCAAGTGGCCGCAAATCAGGGCAGTCTCGTTTCAATATGCTTAGAACAACTAGGAGATACAAATTCTTTGTTACGGCAATGGCTTTGCTTGTGCTTAGCGCGGCTTTGGCATAATTTCGATAAAGCAAGATGGTGTGGCGTCAGGGACATTGCTCATGAAAAATTGTTTACCTTATTAAAGGATCCTGTTCCAGAGGTTATATGACTAATTGTTTATATATACATAAATAATTCAATTAGTTCATTATATATGTACACACACACCCACACACACACACCCACACACACACACACACACACACATACATAACACGCGCGCGTGCGCGCGCGTAGTAATTGCATATATCTGTGATGAATTTGTAAACTATTGAATTAGACACGTATAAGAAATTTTATTTTGTTGTTGCTCTTTATAACTCCATTTTACAGAGCAAGAAAGGAGTTTATATATATATATATATTTTTTTTTTTAATTTTTAATATGAATTTAATATGAATTTATGATTGTGAAAATAAAGAGGGAACAGGAAGTTTATGACACATCTTTATTATAGCGTTATATATCATACATTAATTCCTAAAATTTTAAGGAAATGATTGATACAGGTTCGGGCAGCTAGTGTATACGCATTGGGCACATTTGTAAACAGCGTTACGACCAGAAGCGAGCATGCGAATAATATCGATCAAATTATCGCTATGACACTTATTAATACAGTTTCTCACGATATGTGTCCATTGGTTAGAAAAGTAAGTTAGATTGTGATTTGGAATTGGTCAACATTGCTGAAAAAAATTATTATGAAATTGTCTACGCAGGAATTAGTTGTGGCTTTACAATGGATGGTGCTACATTTTGAAAATTCCTTCGTTACGCTAGCCATGGCCGAGGAGAATAGTCGAAAGGATCTTGTTGTAGAAACTTTATCTCCATTCAGCGGTATGAGACGCATTAGCTCGCGCGATAGATTGAAAATGTTATCACCCAACAATACGTACACCGTAGATACGATCGATGGATTTGGACCACAGGATCGCATCAAAAGAGTATCGTTTTTGGGAGAAGTATCAAGTCAATTAATACCTTCTGTCTGAACACTGAATCAAATAGTTACCTGCATTGATTCTTTCGTGTGTCAGGTAATAATTGGGAGTTCGTGAGGAAACCTTGCGAGTCACTTGGTAATAATGATTAGAAGTTTCGTTGCATGCATCATACATAGTTTATGCTTTTTATTTTTGCGATTGTGCAATTTTCACCCATAGAGTGCTTTTTGCATAGGCTTTGTATAATAGCAATATATTTTCTTTTTTCATTAAAATAACTTTACGATAGCACGACATTTTATATGAAATTTATGAAATTGTTTATCGCAGGTCACAGTTCTCTTGGGAACTTACCGAGTCTTTCCTATGGTAGTGTGTATATGAAATTATGGCATGGATTGTGTAATCTCGACAATGATCCTCATCCAGTGGTCGCTGCTATGTCTCAAAAAGTTACCAATCATATTCGTAATAAGGTATTAATATCTAAGGTGTTAGGGTCTTAACATTTAAAGTTTAATTGTATAGTTTTTGTCATTTAAAAAATTTTAGGTGAAAGCATCTTCTACCCCTAAAGAGGTAGTTGAAACAAAAATTTCCTCTTCATTATCTCTTCCGCCATCTCCGTCAAATCGAACTGGTTATTTGAGGTCAGTTAAAATTTTTTTTGTACAAAATGTAATTTTGTAATTTCAGTCTTATTCTAACAATTTCTTTTGCTTACTATAGTAAAGGGGAATCACCACCGGCTGTCAACTCTGGAACAGATTTGTTGCGTTCTTCGAGAGTTTTAACGCATGGTAGCCGTTCGAGGAAACCTGTTCCTAATACAGTAAGAATGTGTTGATTTATTTTTTTCTAACGTTAACTTTTTTAACGAATTCAAGTGATAACAAAATATTGAACAAATGTAAATTGTTTAAATTCTATTTTCCAATTTTATTTTTACAATAAATTGAAAAAAATATTTCATGTACTTGTTAAAATATTGATAATGAAAAATCGGCCTATTTTATAATAATAAAATTAATTATAAATTTAGATATCTGAAGAGGCAGATGAAGTACCCGGAACTAAAACTCCATTGACTACCTCCCAATTTGTCGAATGGAGTTGCGCGCAGTTTGCTCAGCCGGTTAGTTTAGAGGACGAAATGGACGACGTAGAGAGCAGACCATATCTTGAACGAGAATGGCGGTAAGAACCATTAAACCTTTATTCTTTCTCTAATGCTAGTACTCTAATTTTAAAATAAATTTCCATTAAGTTTCCATTTTTGCGTTTTTAATACGAAACATACATTACACATTGATTATGATCGCAGATTTATACGTAACGCAAGGCAAAAACAAGATGCAAGAGAGGAACAATTGCGTGCGTCGCAAAATAAAATAGAATCGCAAGTGTATCACACGAGGTGTTCTCAATCACCTCAAGTTTTGGTTTTTCATCCATTTGAACCACATTTGGCCGTGGCGCTGAAAGATTGCTTCGGGTATTTGAATTTTCTCATTGCAACAAATATATTATTTAAAATACAATAGATAAGCACAGGTAAAGAGAAAGATTTTCTAATTAACACTTGTTAAAAATTGTTTCAGCATATGGGATTATCAAAATAGCACAAAGTTGACTTATTGTATGAGTTATGGAAACAAAGTAAAATCGCGCATCACAGCACTTGAATTCATCAACTCTCATGACTTAACTCTGCTAATGGCAGGTTCTGATGATGGTTCCGTACAAATCTGGAAGAATTATAGTGGTACGATAAGCCGCGATCCGATTCTACTTACAGCTTGGCAAGCATTGGCTGACGTGCAACCCGCAACCAAGACTTCTAGTGGTATGTACAGAGAGCACATTTATTCGAGATTCTGTTATACATTTATTTTATAATCTATTGTAACCGCTGTTTTAGATTTTAATAATTTTTTAAATCATTTTTCCTATATTATGTATATTCTAAAAATAATCCTGTATTTTTTCGTACTATACTATTAGCGAAGTGTAGTCAATAATATATTTGCAGTGACAGCACGACTCGTTACAAAATGGGAACAGAAATCGCTTACTCTAGCAGTAACGGGCGATGTCCGCATTGTAAGACTCTGGGATGCGGAAACTGAATTGAAGAAGCAAGATATTCCAACAGGCGCCGATTGTTGTACTACATGCATCGATGTTGATGGCACAGGTTGGTTGTTTAAAAGAAAGGTTTTTTTCTTCGCTATTGAAAGTTTCTTAATAAAAGAATACACAATTCTCATTTAAATCCAGTCACATTTAATTAGAACTTATAAACAAGTTTATCTCTCGTATAACATTCAAATATTAATTAATTGATAAACAAGAAGATAGCAAGAGAAGAACAAAACTTTACAGTATAACAATAATCTTAATGTCAATTAAACAGAGATAAATTCTAGTACTTTGTACAGAGACAGATTTTTTTAAACTTATCTGAAACTAGAAAGTTATCTAATATTGCCGCTGCAAGGCCTCGCAATTAACACAACCGCTTGGTACTAAGGTCCGTAAGAAAAAGCGGCGAGCAACAGCGATGTTCTAAACTTTAGACAGATGAGTAACTTTCGAAATAAGTGCCATCTCTATCGATTAGTTTAATTGCAGTGCAATTATTAACCGATCGATAATATAGTTCATATTCTCAACACTCGCACATTACATTTTTTGGTTTATATATTACTATATGTCATTTTTTGTTGCACCAAAATGAAATGAACATCATGTTAAAATTTGTTCTGCAATATTTTATAGGTGCAATAATGACACTTGGTTGCGGCGACGGATCGGTTCGACTCTTAGATCGGAGATTGCCTCCGACAGAAGCAAGAGTGATGACTTGGAGAGAACACACTGCTTGGGTGTCGGGTACATTTTTAAGGGAATCTGAGGGATCTGCACCGCAACTATTTACCGCATCTTCCACAGGTGACATAAAAATCTTTGATCTTAGGAAAAATTCCTCCGTGAGCACAATTCAAATAACACCAGGGATTGCGGCATTGACTGTGCACGAAGTAGCTGATGTTTTCGCATGGTAAGTGCGATTAAACTTATCCTTTTAATACGAGGGCAAGTCAATAAGTTCTTAGAAAATCTGTCGGAGGGTACTCGCAGTGTCATGTCACATTACTTTTTGACAAGTAGCATCTTTCAAATTGATTACTGTCAAATTTTGAGCGGAATTCATCGCGTGGTTTCATTTCTGTAGATGATTAAAGCGAACAACCTTTGTATTTTTTGCAAAATGGAAAAAAAATGAGTTTCATGCAATGATCAAACATCTACATATGAAAGGTAACGCCGAAAGAAATCAAAGCCGTTAGATAATGTTTATAGCACAGCGTCTACATCAGCGTTTGCGACTGTATACAATTGAATGAATTTAAACGCGGTCGTACATCCACATGTGATGCATCTCGTTTGAGACGTCCAATTGAGGCTGCTACGCTAGAAATCATCGATAAAGTCCACAATATTATTTTGACTGATCGATGAGTAAAAATGCGCGAGCTTGTTGAAGCCACAAGCATATCACATGGCATAGTGATTTCAATTTTGCACGAACAATTGGGTATGAAAAAACTATCGACAAGATAGTTGCCGCGTTTGCTCACTGTGGACCATAAGCGCGATCGTGTGACAATTGTCAAAACAATGTTTGGAGATGTTTCAACAAATCTAGATGAATTCAGATGTAATCCAGATGAATTTCTGCGTCGATTCATTACGAAACATGGATCCATTATTTCACACCCGAGACGAAGGAACAGTAAAACAATGGACTTCACTGAGAACCAGCTCCGAAGAAAGCAAAGACCGTGAAGTCGGCCGGAAAGGTGATGGCCATAGTTTTTTGGGATGCACGCGGTATAATTCATATCGATTACCTTCCGTCGAAGCAAATGATCAATGGCGATTATTACGCAGTCTTATTGGACCGTTTCAACAACATTTTAAAGAAAAAACATCTCCATTTGGCGAAGAAGAAAGTGTTCTTCCATCAAGATAATCCACGGGTTCACATGTGCCCAGCACCGATGGCCAAATTCAATGAATTCCGCTACGAATTGCTTCCCCATCCAGCATGTTCGCCAGATTTAGCCCCCTGCGACTATTTCCTGTTTCCAAACCTAAAGAAATATTCGGAGGAAAGAGATTCATCACCAGAGAGCAGCTCATCGCCGAAACAGAGGCTTATTTTGAAGAGTTGGACAAATCATATTATTCGGACGACTTGAAAAAGTTGGAGAATCGTTGGATCAAGTGTATCGAGCTGAAAGAAGACTATGTTGAGAAATAAAAATGAATCGATAAAAAAAATGTGTTTTTACTATGTTTTTCTAAAAACTTATTGACTTGCTCTCGTATTAATAAATTTATAGCTAATCAAACCATTAATATATGTGTATAACTATTACATTTTGTTAGCTATAATTTCTTATATTGTTTTAATGATAATCTCCTATATTTTTTTTCTTAGATTAGAAAAAGATGAAAAAAATTTTTGTTTTAGTGGCACCACAAGTCATTGTATCAGCATCTACAACATATTGGGACAACATCTCAATACGCTGAAATTTCACGAAGGATTTATGGGTACACGCCTCAGTCCAGTAAGCTGTCTGAATTTTCATCCGTATCGCGTAACTTTAGCGGCCGGTTTTGTGGACAGTACCTTCACGGTATACGAATCACGCAGGTGACTATTAGAGATGGAACTCGTGTAAGATTCTTGTAAGATTTTGTAAATTTATAAAAGCGCCTCACGTTTTTTTTGCGTTCGCCTTTGTATTGCAATATTCGATGAAATTAGGGTTTTTTTGTTTCCGGTGTTTCCGCGAGAGAATCACAGAATAACTATTTTACGTCGACGATAAAGGGTAACCTCCGTTTTCCCACCGTTTCTTCTTGCTAGTATATTGACGATCTGCCTGCTATCATGCAAAATATGGAGAAAGAATGTAGTTGTAGCTTTTGTGATAAAAATGAGAGTGGGAGGGAGGGTTAACCAAAGTATTTCGAGACGACCAAAGAATAAGTTACTATCTTGCATGTCAGTTACTATCTTGTATAAATCATATGTTGCAAAAATCATATAAAAATGATCATAGATTGATATCACTATCTTATATGATTTTTGCGTACAAAATAGTAACTGTAGATAGAACTTTGGTGTTCTGGGAAATGCCAATGCATAAAAATATATGTACATTGTGATAAAAAGCGAGTGTAATCAAGAAAAAGATTAATGTTTAACGAAAACTTTACGATCCGTACAGTGAGAGATAATCTCAACTATTGTGCCATGTAATGTGCTACTTCAGAATTAAGCTGTTTCCATACAGATATTGATGTAACCAAGATATTTTAATTACAGAATCAATCACACTGTGGCTGTGTAAATACGGCTCGCATTATATGCATTTTTATAAATTACATGAGTGACAATTGTTAGAGTATACGTTCCGCTATTGTTTGTCGATTCGATATATAACATTAACTTCCGTTTTTAAATATTATTTCTATTATCGCGTTCCTGATCAATAAAATAATGTAGTTCCGTTTCGAACAATTTTAATCATTACTGATATCGTACAAACTTTGCTTAAGTATGTAAGTATAATTTTGTAAGTAGCAAGATTTGACAAAATATATTTGTTACGTCTATACGTTTATTCGCGTGGCAATATTAGATATAAACCGTACGTGTGTGTGCAATATTTGTAGATCGTGATATTTATCGATCTAAATGCATATACATGCATATACAATTGCAGAAATTTTCAAATATCATTTACAAAGCTGAATAAGCGTGAAAATACAATAATAGAGGGAGAGAACGGACATGATTTTTTATATGAATGTGCAACCTCCCGATTTATTATTTATATAAATTATTTTACAAGCATTTTTAATTGTAAATGTTTAATTATATCCATTGTGGCTACAACGAAGCGTCGTATCGTTTGAATTTTTATTTCTCAAGAGCCATTAGCAAAGCACTTTAATCATGTTACATACGTTCTGTTAAGAATTACTTAGTAAAGTATTTAGCGATTGCCGTAACCCCTCCCTACAGTACATACATCATGAAATTATTAGTGATTGCATCTGCGATCGCAGTCACGCAATTATATTGACCACAAATAACGATGATGTATTTTAAACAATATGATTATTTGATAATTATGTTATATAGTAACTTGTTCCGTTCTATCCACGGTAAAATTTTTTCAGCAGAAGAACGTATAATGTACTGATACTCATGGAGATAGAGAAAGCAATCTAGCTTCTTTACGGTGCGTAATATAATATATGAACAAGTTATCGCTAAGTTAGGAATACAAGTAGAACACGTTGATGTTATACGAGCAAAAATTAGTTATATTATTGTAACGATAGACACATTGTAAATATACATAAATACGTAAATAGGATATTCTAGCCATAGAAAGAGAGAGAAAGTGTATAGATAGCTCTTTGTATTTCTCTTTATATCACACGATAGAGTTTTGTTATTGACACGTTGCATAATCTAGACATGTGCGATAAAGCGATGGGAATTGATGAATTTGCGTGCGGTATTATAAGAAAGTTCTACCAATCGCAGATTTGTACAGATACGTAGATGCAATACGTAGTGCCAGATGTACTTAATCGCTCATTGTCGATTATGGAAATCATGCGTTTCTGTCTGTCTCTTTCTCTCTCTCTCTCTCTCTCTCTCTCTCTCTCTCTCTCTCTCTTTCTCTCTCTCCCTCTTTTTATCAAAACAATTTGTTTTTCTATATTTCACTGCTAACGAATTTGGGTGTTAACATTATCCATTGTGTGTTTATTTCGATAGACGCTATCTATTTTTAGTATGTACCACTGTGCCTGTTAGATTAGTCGTTCAACGCCGTTTTTGTCAATAGCACAATTTTTATTCTTCGTTATTTCACTCATTTTAATTCTCAACATTGCACTTGGACGATAAAATAATAAGATTGAATAAAAGAACATGAAGAGAATAAATCATGTTTTAGTCGAAATCTAACATTTTAAACTAGATTTATATTGCTGCGGAATACTAGTATGGAAAGAACATATCTTAGCCGAAGAGCTTAGTTAATAGCATTTTTTTTCTTAAAGAAAATGAAAAATAAGAAAAATTGATTTGAAAGTTTTGCTATAAAAGTTATGTGTGTGTAACGGCTTATAAATTTATTTTAAAGTTTAAACTTTCGTAAGAGGAAGAGGATGAGATTGGATGTGAAGACGAGATTAGAGTGGACAATTGAAATTTTGATACCATCAGAGATTACTAACGCATTGTATTGCAGCCAATGCTACAAATAAAAATTTACATTAATTTATTATTTTTTCATTACAAATTGTAAAAATTCAAATTGTTCATTCCAATCTCGTACATATATCTGCGTATGATCTTCTCTTAAATTTTAGTTATATTTCACGAATGATATCCATATGAATGATTTAAAAAGACACGGATTTAAGAATGTATGGATGATATTTCAGCATAATAACAAAATTATGAAAAAATTACAGATTATTTGAAATCACATTTAAAGGTGACCCTACACGGTCAATAATACTGATCAGTAATACTGAATCAGTAATACTAACATGCATCAATCTTTTTAGTATTTTTACAACTTACACAATCAGTATTATGGACAATATATTTCACTTTAATTTTACGTACAATATCTATTGCACTTGTGACATACTGTGACATGGATCTTAATAATATGGATGCTTGAGAATCAAAATCTAGATCACCATCCTACATTAGATCAGTATCCTACATTCTACGTCCCATCTACCAATCGCAGATTTGTACAGATACAATATGATAGATGCAATATGTAGTGTCAGATGTACTTAATCGTTCATTGTCGATTATGGAAATCATGCATTCCTGTCTATCTATTTTTTTCTCTCTCTCAATCCCTCAATATTAACCACACATGATTAGTGCATATGTTAATACTGATCACGTAATTATTGATCACGTAAGGTCACCTTAAAAATAACATGATAAATCTGGTGACGGTTTACTGTCTGAATTGTAAGTTATTTTAATAAATAATAGTATTTTTTAAATCTGCTCTAATAAAAATATATGGAAATGTATTAAATGTATAAAAGAAATGACACACACAAAAATCTCAACTTTTTAATATAAGTACATTATGTATTCAAGATTATTTATGTAAAGTTATAATATATATATAAGTTATTGCACGAACTAGTTCAATAAATAAACAAAATATTTATTTGTTTTATATATATCTTTGTAACTAATCAGTGAACCGCAATGAAAATTTTGTTATTTTAAATATTTAAAGTACTTATAAAAAAAATTAGATTTTTATTATTTTTTAAATTTTAATTTATAACAATAAAAATAATTAAAATAAACAAACTATATAAAAATATGTTGTTCAATAAAAACGGAATATTTTGAATACAACTTTTATACATATATATAATTTGTTTAAAGTATAAATATTAACATTTGTAAAAATGATGCCCATACATCCTTAAAAAGATTCACAATTTTTTTTATCGCCTAGCGATGGTGGTAGACTGGTTCTGAAAAAGATTCGTAACAGTTTGAAGATAATTTTTTCGCAAACGGATATGTTGAAAAAAATGTATGAATTTTTATTCAACATCTTGCGTGAGAAATCATACAATATAATTTCGGTAAATTCAATTATTAATGCTATAAGCTGACATCTTGTCACTGTAGCTGAATTATGAGAGGTGCAGTACAGGAAAAATCGGAAAAATCTTTTTTTTTTTTTCACATAATTTGATCGCAACAAATTGCTTTATGCCATAAACATGCATATGTATCCAAGTATGAACTTATATGGCGAAATTATATCGATTATTCTCGTAAATACATAGTTTCACAATAGCTGATCTACTCTTATGTATATTGAATACAACTCGACCATCGCGCTGTTATTATACCGTTAGTTAGCAATAATTGCGCTAAGGATTCGCAGACGCTTATGAAATACAAGAAATGTCAAATACCAAGTATCAACGATTTTGACACTGTATGCTGTTGTACATTTGTGTAATTATGTAATTGCCTCGTAGTTAAATACAATATTATCACGTTACGCCGATTTTGTGTAAATAAGGTAAATTTGTAATTTTGTTCTTTTCTTTTTCCTTCTTACTTTCTATATCATACTTATCTCAGATACATCGATATAGCTATCTATCATATTATGGATCGTTGCAGACATGATGGGATCATATCAAGGAAAAAAAATTTACAAATATATTAAATGTAACTGGTTTGAAATCGTTGGTGCGATTTCTTCTTAATTCGTTGCTCGCGTGTAATGCGTTAGTGGTTAGTGCAAGGTTGTCGGTACAACTTATCGACTATATGTGTTAGTTGACGTGGCGGGGTTTATTCAGGCATGAATTTCTCAGCGAATCGTGCATTCGTGCATGCAGAATGCACCGCGGGTGGCAGTGGTTGAAACGGCGCGATAAGAGAGCTTTTCTTTAGTTCCATCGCGTTCCCAGAATAGAATCAACGTGCACGGGACGATCTTTGATTGATGTTATCGTGACATGGAATTCGTCGTTATCATTCGATCGGAAACGTGATGCTATTTCACGCTATTCTACAAACATTCCAGACACGTGTGACGTTTCGTATAACGACAGATACCAGCTTGATCAAAAAGTTTCCGGAAGAGACCACCGGGTGATGCTCTGAGTCAGCTGATTTGAGTTCTTTTTTTTTGGCTAGGTTGCCACATCTATCATTGACATTTCCATCAAATTTTATCGCTATAGCTTGACATTTGTAAAAATTACGCCGTCTTGAGTACATCTACCTCTGCGCGTGTTTTCGATTTTTTACAGTTTTAAAAATGGAGTTGAATTTGCAACAACGAGTTTGCAACAACGAATACCATCCAACAGCCATCGAATTCACCCGATATGGCTCCCTGCGATTTTTTTCTGTTCGATCGAGTCAAAAAACCTGCGGGAAACGCGTTTTAACAGCCGAAAGGAGGTAATGGAAAAATCGAAGACGGCTCTGATGGCTATACCAATAATAGAGTTCCAGAAATGTTTCGAGAGCTGGATCAAGCGCTGGCATAAGTGCGTTGCAGTCGCTGGAGAGTACTTTGAAGGGGACAATATCACTTTTGATGAATAAACTTGTATTTTGAATTTTCTGAATGAATTCCGGAAACTTTTTGATCAAGCATATATTCAAGCATATACATTACTTTCATTAATAAGTTTAATTTTGTATGTACAAGAGCGACAATTTATCTTATAAATACTAATAAGTAGTCGTTCGCATCACATTAATTATATCATTTATGCTTGTTCTTTTGTGTTAATTATGTGACTTTCTTAGTATGTTGTATGTATGTATGTATGTATGTACATACAGGCTGTATGTCTAGATAAGATAATTATATTTAAAGGAAATTTATGCGATTTCTCGAGTTTCTGCTGTTCCAGTCCGCAGATGAATGCAGCGGGGAGTGACAAGTTTTATGAATTTTAATCAAGCTACAGGGGGTCGCTTGTGTATCGTCGAAATGAGGTGAAAATTACAAAAATGAGCAAATTTACTAGAATATTCATAATTTAATTAGGCAACATCTAGTGAATTTGCTCATTTTTGAAATTTTCACCTCATTTCAAAATACACAATCGAAGGGAGGACACACTAGTGCGTATTGCTGCATATTAAGATGGAATCACACGATGCTCAATTTCTTGAATGATAGAAAGATATGCATACAATCATGCCTACTCTGATGTATGCTAGAATTCGTTCAAATATACATTGAGCGCTGCATACTGCATATATGT